AGATTGAGCCGGGTCTCTGGCGGCGGCTTCAGGAGCAGGAGGGGTAGGGGTCTCTTCAACTTCAGCTCGGGCTTCTTCATCTCCTTCGGTGCCCATTTCCGCCTGCATGGCCTCGATCTCCTTCCTAGCCCAGTCTTCATATGGCTCAAGCGCCAGCCGATTTTTGTCCTTGGCCAGAATGACAAGATCTACGTATTTGTAGGCTAGCTCCCAGACGGCATACTCCGCATCCGGATGTACTAGGGACCAAGCCATTTGCATGCGGTTTTTGCAGTCTTGCTCGTTCTCCTTAATGAGCCGGCTTTGTTCAGCTTCCAAGGTGGTTTGGAAGTTCTGTCTTGCTGAAGCTACATCCTTCTTCAGGCGGATGTTCTCAGTCAGCAGCGAGGAGTTCTCCTTCTTGGTTGCCTCAAAAAGCTTGAGGGACTCCGCCGCCTTCTTTACATCCTCTTCAGCATTTTCTTTCTCCGCCTGGAGGTTGTGGATTTTTGTTTGGGCTTCATTGATGGACTTCTGAAGCTTTTTGATGGAGTCCGCTTGTTGCATGATTATGCTTTTAGTTTCTAAGTCATGCACAATATGGAATATTGAGCAACGTTATGGGCCTCAAATGCATCTCGTTTAGCCCGTCTTACCTCCTCCTGTTTTCTGGCATATGCTCTCTTCAGCCCTTCCACGCGCAGCATGGACTGCAAAGGCACAAACGGTGTTAGAAGGTCAAACGGTCTAACAAATTTGAAACATTCAGTTGGAGAAGCATACCTCAGCCAGGCTGGCCATGACCCGGTCAGCATTGAAGGTGTTGATCCCCGGGATCGCCTCCTTATCTTCTTTTGGGATGGCCTTCAGCATGGCCCGAGCGTACTGTTGTACATCCGGCCAGCGAGGGGAGAGATCTGCACCAGAAAGAGACGGTGACAAAGCTACATACGTCCCTCCTATTTACTACTGGCTACCAACAGAGTCTTCTGGCTGGAGCTGGGAGTGTGACTTAACCCGCATGGGCTTGCCAAGCAAAGAGGGGTTGAAGGGTTCTATTGTACCTTGAGAGATAGGTTGAGAGCCTTGATGGCCCTCAACCGGCACAGAAGCGCCGGAAGCCCTAGGCGGCGCAACTTCCCTGGATGCCTCAGGGACATCCGGTTACCTGGAGGTTAGATCAAACCCCAGGCCAGTATTTTTGACAGTCTTTCCCCCCAACAGTCAGACGGCTGGAAACCGCTTGAGTGGAGGTTTTACGTGACTTATTTGATGCGGCCACCTCCTATCCCGGCCGGGGCCGGATCAGCTTGGTCAGGGAGCGAGGCGCCTTGCTTTCCTCCTGAGTCAAAAAAGACAAGTATAATGATCACCCGGTATATACTTCAAAAATACGCAAGACTAGGGAAAGGGCGCATGTACCTTGTTTTTTGCCGCCTAGGCAGCTTTTTTCTTCTCCGCATTCTCCTTGCGGATTTCGGCGGCTGATTTTGTAGGCGTCCTGTGTGGGGGAAAAATTGCCAAAGCGTTTATTGTAGAAAAGAAACCGTCTGATTAGAGAAAGATGATAAAGAATGTTAAAAGCATAAAATAGCTAAAGCGGCATAATAGAGCCGAGTGTGACTGCGACCTACGTTTTTTAAACTGGGTGCTTAACCCGCAGGCGGATAAGAACGCCTCATCTCTTAGGAACTCATGTTTGGGTACCCAATTCTTGGGCACGCTTATTAGTTCACCGGTTGAGAGGGCGGTTGTGGTGAGTTCAAAGAACCTCGCCTCTATTATCCTCTCATAGTCCTCATCCGGGACTCGGGGCATCTTACATTTTTGCCCAAGAAGCTCAGGCTTCCGGTTATAGGTCCTGAACTCTCGGTTCTCCTCTTTGGTGGGAGCAGAAACCAGATAGACCGGTTCTTCCAGTTTGACCACTTGGACGGTTTGTCCAGTGTCATCAAGTACTGGGGATAGGTGGTCAGAGTATACCAGGCTCTCCACCCGCCTGGGCTCCGGCTTAAATAATGCATATGGGCGAAGGCCTCCCAGCCGGCGTTTAGGCCATGCATCTCGCAGGCGGCAATATAGCCCAAAATGTTAACCCAAGAATTGGGGGTTAACTGCCATATGCCCAGACCGTATCCTCTTAGGATGGCCTTAATGGTGTTATGAAGAGGGAAGCGGAGACCGGCTAGAAAGGCCGCCTCGTAGCAGCCAAAATGCCCGTTCGCATTGTGCTGGTTGTCTTCCCAGACAATTGTCCCCATCTCAGGCGGCACTCGAATTTTGTACCCCTCTCCTAGAGGCCGCATGAGGATAAAGTTTCCTAAGTTCCTCTCCATGCTAGCCCGGTCCTTAGCAGAGACGGCGATTAGGAGGGGATCACCCTTATTATTCTTAATGGGTCTCTCTTCCTCCTCGCTATCTACAACCAGTGTAAGATAGTTGTTGCTACTGCCTTCAGAGCCTGATGTAGAGGCGGTTTCTCCGTTGCTCTCATTTCCAGAGGATTCTTTCTCCTCCTCAGCTCCAGTGACAGAGGCGGCATCTTCACCGCCTCCATTATCGGAGGATTTTTCCTCATCAGCTCCAGAGATAGAGGCGATATCTTCGCTGCCTCCATTATCAGACCCCAGGATCCTATCACTAGGGGTGCTTGGGGTACCTCTTGGGGATTCCCTTGACATCTCAGCTTGATTTGTTTCAGGCGGCAATTCTTCGGAGCTTTCTCCCTTATACTCTGGATCTACTGCCGCTTTTCTAATACGAGCCATTGCGTCTTGCACAGAGACAGATAGAGTCGGATTGGGAGATGAACAAGAGGAATCCTAGTACCTAGAGGCGGCTCCCCTAGTCCTAGACTCAGCCGTACCAGGGGACCGGTTGACCTCTAAATCGTGGTGTGTCGTGTGTGTTGAGTGAATCCGTTACTCTAACAACCTATACAGTTGGGAAAATCTCAAAAAGTTGCAAGGGGCAGAGACGATACCTTGAAGTAGTAAAAAAGCTTGCTAGCAGTCGGATCTTTGAGTTGTTGCTTGAAGATACCCCTGACAGTATCCCTTTGAAGAACAACTAAAATTTGTAGAAGACTTGACCGTTTTCCCCAAAATGTGGCTTGAAGATACCACAAGCGGAAGATTCCGGCTGTGTATGATATGAAAACTGAAAAACAAAACAAACAGTCAGGCTTTTTTTTTGAAGAAAATTGCTCAAAGATACCCCAGGCGGTATAGGACCGGCTGAGGATTTATTGCAAGCAATTTATGAAGAAAATTGCTCGAAGATACCCCAGACGGTATAAGACCAGCTGTGGGTCTATTAAAAGCAATTATTAAGAAAATTGCTCAAAAGTATCCCAGACGGCATAAGCCCGACTGTGGGTCTGATGAATGCAGGTATTGAAGAAAATTGCTCAAAGACGCCTCAGACGGTATAATACCGGCTGTGGGTCTGTTGGATGTAATTTTTGAAAGACTGCTCAAAGATGTCCCAGGCGGTATAAGACCAGCTGTGGGTCTATTGAATGCAATTTATGAAAGGAATTGCTTGAAGATGCCCCAGACGATGTAAGACCGGTTGTTGCTCTATCTGAAATCAAGAAGAAGAAATTGACTAAGTCAGACGGTACCATAGTGAGATGATCAAAGAAGCACTCAACCGGTAACCGGACGTACTTGAATCAAAAGGAGCTAGTTGAAGGCAAGAGCAGCCGGTTTCAGAGCTCTTTTTCTCTCAAGGAAATTCTCTCAAAAAATTTGCAAAAGTGTGGAATGAGAGGAGGGGGGTTCCTATTTATAAGGAAACTCGGAAGGAAAACCATCGCCTCCTCTTTTCAAATTTGAATTCAAAAAAAAAATGGAGGGAAGGAGACGAGTCGTCGCCTTCCCAGAGTCTGACACGTGTCACAGGTGCAACGTGACACCTGTGAGGGGAAAATGTTTGGGGTAAAATTACCCATGCCATGTGGCCCAATAGCAATTTAACACGTGTCAGCCCCATAGAGGCCCAATAGGATCCAATCGGATGCTGACATGTGGCACAGTAACCCTAATAGGGGAACAGATCCTCTTCTACTATAAATAGAGGAAATTCCTCATTTATTATACAATTCAAGCACAGTCATAAATACAAAACACAAATACTGAGCAATATTAATTGCAGAATCTCCCGGAACCCGAGAGACTATTTACTTTTCGCATCCTTACTCACTCAGACGTATTCTAACTTGATCGTGGGACGCAAAACTCCAGCCAACCGGAGTCTCCGTGCTTTTGCAGGTACAGGCGGTCGGCTACCAGTTCTGGTGTTGTAACTCTCCCGTAGGACACATCAAAAAACCCCGAAACAGGTATATCATATGATTTCTACTATTGCTGCTCAAAGGAGAGATTTGTAGATATAAAGAGACAGAAAAAGGGGGAAAATTTGAAATTCCTAATGTTCCTATATTTGAGACAAGATGTGTTAATGAGACAAGAACTGGTTGTAAGGCTAATATCAGATTCAAGAGAAAAGAATCTTGTGAATATTATGTTATTCAATATATCATAGAACACAATCATGAGTTAGTCAATGCTACAAAAAGACATCACGTTAAATTTGAAAGGAATACAAAAGAAGATATGGGAAAGGTGATTAATAAAATGATTGATAGTAGAATCAAACCAATGGACTGCTATGCTTTTCTAATGCATGACGCAGGATTAGAGGAGCTTTTGGGTCATACAATGAGAGACCTATTAAATTATGTAACTAGTTATAAATCAGAAAGAATTGAGGGTGGTGATATAAAAAGTGTTCTGGACACACTATAAGAGAGAGCAGAAGCTGATTCATCTTTCTTTTATAGATTGAAGTTTGGTGAATGTGATCAGATTGTTAGTTATTTTTGGCGCGATTTAATGATGTTAGAAGATTTCAAAGCCTTTAGCGATGTAATTATATTTGACATAACATATAGGAAAAGGGAATATGGTCTAATTTGTGCTCTATTGGTTAGAGTAAACAACCATTCGAGAACAACAATGTTTGGTTGTGCTTTCATGACTGCTGAAACTACAGATACCTTTGAATGGGTTCTTGAAACTTTCAAAAAGTCTATGAGAGGACTAGAATCAAGTACAATCTTCACAGACCAAGATCAAGCAATGAACAAAGCAATTGAAACGGTAAACTTTACTTTTAAAATATGTAGTACATAAAGATGATATCAAGAAACTAATGACTGATATCAGACAACAAAAGATTGATGTCAGCCAACTGATCTTTAGTATGATCCAACTGATGATATCAACAAATTAATTATTGATATTAGCCAACTGATCTTTGGTATGATCCAACTGATGATATCAACAAATTAATTATTGATATCAACCAACTAATTATTTATATCAGCCAACAAAAGGATGATATTAGCCAAGAAATATATAATATCTTCATTTACGTAATACATAACATCTATTCAATTTAAGATTTCTTTATTTTATATTACTTTAAATTATTATTTACACATGATATATATAATGTTTAGGTTCGGCAAAATTCAAGACACAAATTGTGTTTGTGGCATCTTCAAAAGAATTTTGTTTCGCGATTTGGACAGTTAAAGAGCAATGAAGATTTCAAAAATATGTTTAACAAGTGCTTTTATGGTTGTGACAGTGAGGAAGAGTTTACAGCGTGTTGGAAAAATATGATTCAGAAATATGGTTTAGGAGAAAAAAGTTGGTTTGACAGATTATGTGAACTACGATTCAAATGGTGTCCAATTTTTAGCAAGGACATATTTTTTACTGGAACTTTATCTTCTCAAAGATCAGAGGTGACAAACAGAGCCATATCATTCAAGGCAAACAAGAAGACATTATTATTGGAATGCTTCCATATATTTAAAGCTACAGTGAAAAGATGGAGAAGCAATGAAAAAGCTGACAACTACAGATGCAGAACAGAGAAGCCAAAGACAAAATGTAAATTGTTAAAACAAGCAACTAAAGTCTACACTTTAAATCTTTTCAAAGATTTTGAAGAAGAATACGACACAAGTATGAGATCTTATATTCGTGATGTTTCAAATGAAATGATGACTACGGGCTGAAGATGTTTGAAGTGTCATTATATGAGGAATTCAAATACATCCATCGTGTTTTTTACAGTGACAGTTTGAAAGAATTCGCTAGTTCATGCTTATGTTACAATGAAATAGGAATAATTTGTTATCATATATTATGAGTAATGCATATGCATAATGTCTTTAGTGTCCCTTCTTTATACATAAAGAAGAGATGAACAAAATCAGCAAAATCTGCAATTTGAGAAGAAAAACAAGGTATGTATAGAGGAAGTAGTTACATTGATAGTTGATATTGAACAAAATACGGAACATAATGTTGGAATGATTGGAATATTTTCAATGGTGTATTTAATTTTGTAAGAAATGTTCAAGAAGTTATGGATGTAACTTCAATGCTAGACACTCCATTGAGACATACAATAGCAAGAAATTTCTACAGTCTGGTATACATATGTCAATCAAACAATAAAGCCAAAAATGTTTGTGATGATGTAGTTGACAAAATGTGTATAGCAGTGAAGAAGGTGTTTCAAATAGATTAAGGAAAAGATGAAAGAAATTAATGAAGAGGAAGAGAGATGAAAAACCGGAATTGATCCTTTACGACAAAAAACAAAAGGATGGTCATTTGAAATAAACAAAAGGATTAGAGGACATTTTGAAAGACGAAAGGCTAATACTAGACATCCAAATGAATTTGGGACAACAACTCCAAATCCACAACTTATTTAAAATGATTTTGTAATAATATTATAGAAATATACTTAGGTGTTAGTTTTTGGTGACAAAGTGATATATGATGTTAGTCTTTTTAACACTTTTATAATTGAATGAAATGAATGATATATCTACTATAAAACATATCAATTGTGGTGAATATCATCTATACTATAAAAGATATCAATTGTGATTCATGTCATATAAGCCAACATAAGTATCATATAAGCCAACAAATTGAATCATATTAGCCAACATATCAGCCAACAAAAGAATCATATTAGCCAACATAAGTAACAAATCAGTCAACAAAAAAATCGTATTAGCCAACATAAGTATCATATAAGCCAACAACTTGACGATATTAGGCAACAAAATAAAGATATCAGCCATTTAAAAAACCATTTAAGCCAACAAAATAATGATTTCAGCCAACAAAATGACCTTATAATAAGCCAAAAGAATAAACATATAAGCCAACAAAAGAGACAAATCAGCCAACATAAGAAACATATCAGAAAACAAAATGATAATAACAGGAAACAAAATAAACATATCAGCTAACCTATTATGTATATTATCTATCAAATAATATATATAATCTATCCTATAAGTCATAGCATATATTAAATATCTTCAAATAAAAAAGAAATATCATCCAAGTATATATCATATATTATATTATTTTTATAAATTAAATTTTTAATTTCATTAAATCTGTTGGCTATAAAGTACACCTAGATTCCCATTTGCATGTTCATTTTTAGGTACTTAATTTTCTCTCTCCTAAAACCAACCTCTTCCTCATTTTTTTCCTTAAAAGTGTCAAACAGTTCTTCATCTTCAACTGCATCAAATAATTTAGAGGATAGTAGGGTAGAAAATTGGACTCAAATATTAAGAGTTCTAGTAAAAAAAAAAGAGAAAAGAACAAAGAAGACCTGAAGGAGTTATATGAAAAAGTAGATGAAGTAAGAAGAAGATCTAAACAAATAATAGAAGAATTTAAAAAATCAGAATGAAAGGCGAAGAAACAACAACAAGAAGAAGAAGGGAAAAATAGTGCAAAAGAAGTAGAAGAAAGAAAAAAAGAAGATTAAGAAGATAGAAAGTGAGATTTGAAAAAAAAGAACAAGAAAATTCATTAATAATTTGTAATCTAAATTATCTTCAGTGATATGTATAACAAAGCTTTTATTTTTACAATTAATAAATATTAATATTAAGAATCTTATCGTCCATGGTTTGTATTCATATCATCCAAGGCATTATAAATATTATCCAATCATATGATATAATCCAACACCTTATCATATCATCCAACAATTAAGACTATATAATTTAAGCATCATGTAACAAAAAGATATTATTTTAACAATTAATAAAATATTATTATTTTAATAAGATATTTTATGCAATTTATGAAAAGACACAACAGACAAATGATGTGTCTAGGGTTTTTTTTTTTTTTTAATTTTTAATTTTTATTATTGTTTTTTATAATTTTCCTATAAAACACCCTTTCATATTCTACAAATTTTCAAATTATCCATATTCTCTCTCTTATAGTAAACTCTTTTCTTTTTTTACATCTCAAATATGGAAAACAATTCTCAATCTTCTACTTCATCAAAGGATCCAGAAGAAAAATGTGATGGATCATTGGGAGAAAACGTTAAATGATCTATTCGAATGAAGAGATAGGGTGAAAGACAAATTGATGAAGTTATATGAAATAGCAGAAAAGCATGAAATCGAGGAATTGAGGAAGAGAAAGAGAAAGAGAGAACTAGACGAATTACAGGAAGCACAGAGAAAGAGAAAGAGAAAGAGAAAGAGAAAGAGAGAAGAACAACAAAAGAAGAAAGAACAAGAAGAAGAAAAGAGGAAAAAATAAGATTGAGATCCAAAAAAGAAAGAAGAAGAAGTCGATCAAAGTAGTTTCGTAAATGTAATATAGATTCTAGGGTTTTGTTTTTTTTTTTTTTTTGTTTTTTTTTTTTGTATTTTTAGGATTTATATTGCAATTTTGTAATGTATGAATTTTCAGAATATTAATTTTCAAAGTTCATAAAAATATATGAAAATTATCTTTTGTAATTAGCATTTTTTAATACATGAAAGTTCATAAATGCGTTTTCGAATTTATAAAAGTTCAGAAAATTTATAATGAAAAAATGGTTTAAGTTTGATATAAACAAATGATCTATCACATAATATATCAGCTATCTTTTAAACATGTTAGCTATCGTAGAATATAAATAAGCCAAAAGTTGGATAATATTAGTTGCACAAATTGATTACATAATCCAACACTTAATTGATATAAGCCAACAATAGGATTTTATAAGCCACAGTTAAGTGGTATCAGGCATCCGTTACTTTAATACATTTTCTTTTAACATATATCATCTATCTTAATACACATATACGGAAACAATACGAGGATATCAACAACAGAAGTTATATTGTATAATATACATTATTAAACTTGTAGTACGTGATATCTATCCATTAATTTATATCAGCTATTGTATTACATGTATCATCTATCAAGAAATACATTTTAGCTGTCCTACAACACAAATCAGCTACTACCCTACAACACTTATCAACTATCTTTTAACCCATATCAGCTATCTTAATACACATATCATCCACACCTGTCAAAGTCAGGCTATACACATATTATCCATAATTGTCAAAGTTAGCAATCTTAACAAAGGCCTTTTATAGATATTTGTTTTGTTTTATTAATTTCTTTTTATATATTAAAAGATTCTTCTAGTTTTCATCAATCTATAAAGATTTTTTATTGATATGGTAGATTTTATAAGCGTGCCCATTTTTTTTGGTAATGTTAATATTTCCAAAAAAAAGATATTGCAGCTAATCTGAGTAATTAAAGTCAAACTAGTTTTCTGCAATCTGACCTACTTTATTGTAACTTGCATGTTTTTAGAAATCACATGTAGAATAGTTTAGTAGTCAAATTAAAATATTTATGTTTCCATTAGTTGTATCGAATTAGTCAGGATTATATGTTATAATAATAACTGCTCCTACATCAAGGCTGTGTTTATAAAGCTTCTTTCTATAAAAAGTCTGTTTCTATATTAAGCTTGTGTTGTGTCTATATAAAGCTTGAACTTATCTTGCATAAATATAAGTTACATTACAAAGTTTTTAGCTCATATTTTTTTTCTATATTATTAGCTCAAATTTATAAATAATCTTCAAGGCTATGGATGCTTTTTACGCAAATATGACCTCTTGTTCTGTGAAATTCAGAAGTTCTTATAGGCTTGGACTGCTAAATAATTTATCTTGTTAGATTATAAATTTGCTTTCCGTATTATAAATTAAGTAACTTCTTTTTCTTTTTTTTTTAATTTTTTTTTAATGTTGTATTTCAGCCGCTTCCTGAAAATTGGACATTTTCTTCTTAAATTTAAAGATCCAGTGAAAGTCTATCGTGGGAATAAAGGGCGTGTTTGGAATGTTAGAATGGTAAGTGTAGCACAGGCCCTTTATAGTTTCTAATAATATTGTTGTTGGAGAAAAACTGGATGTCTATTAAGCTAGAAATGGAGTTTTTCACATCAGAGTTTTTGTAGTGCTGGGATGAGTGGCTTCCTACTGAAGCTGAAAAATGGTATTAATGTGTAATGCTATTAATAGTTGCAGATAAGGGACAAATCACTACAAAGCTTCATTTGTATAAGTTGTCCTATATTATGTAATAATACCTGTATCTAATCTTTAATAATAAACGCATTGCGATCCTCTAGACATATTCTATAAAAATTATCATCCAATAGATACATGATATCAGTCAACAATAGACCGATTTCAGCCAACAATGAAATGATATCAGCTAACTAATAGCAGATATAAGGTACCAAAATGAAGATATCAGACAACAGAATAATTATATAAGTCAACAAAAGAATAATAGATTAATTATAAGTGATATAATATAATACAAATTATCCAATCTGTAGCTAGTACATGTTATATATCCATAACTTTATATGATCTATCGTATTACTTATATTATCTATCATGAAACACATTTCAATTCTCCTATAAAACAAAAAAAACTATACTATAACACTTATAAGCTATCCTATAACATGTATCATCCATATTTAAACACATATCAACTATAGTACACATATCGTCCATGGTATTAAGGTAGAACAAATCATTTAACTTAAGAAATAAATGAAGTCATATATCACTTTAAGAAATAAAAATATTATATACAATAAAGATTTGTATTCTATACATACATATTAAACATC